TGTGCTCTCTCGGATGTCATCTACTCCTCTGCCTACCCTTCCCCTTCTCTCGAAAGCTACCTACTCCGCTACCTACCCCTCCTTTGATCTTTCGAACACTACCTACTACTGCTTACTTCTCTCAGATGTTACGTCCACTTCCTTTCTTCTCTCAGACGCTACATTGTCCTACCTTTCTTTTCTCAAACACTATATCCTCCTTCCTTTATTCTCTCAGAATCTACCTACCAATATTCCCTTTTTTGCTCTCATACTCTGCCTCACCCTCCTTTTTTTTCTTTCAGACTCTACCTGCCCCTCCCTTTTTTCTCTCACTCTACATACCCTTCCTTTATCTCACACTCTAACTAGTTCTCCTTTTTTACTCTTATACTCTGCTTACTCCTTCATTTTCTCTCTGACTCAACTTAACCCTCTTTTCTGTGTCATAATACACCTACGCATTTTTCTCTCACAGACTCTTTAAAAATAAGACTCTACATTCGCTTTCTTTTCTTTATTTAATTCTACCGATTTCCTTATTTTTCTCTGTGACTCTACTGGACCACCTTCCTCTCTCAGACTCTTCCTACACTTCCTTTTTACTCTCATACTCAACTTAAATCGTTTTTCTCGCTCAGACGCCACACTGAAACGTATAGGAAAGTGGATAAACTGCTGTGTTAAAAAGATAAGGATAAGATTATAGAACTGTTATTTATATACAGATAAACCAATCTTGGAATGACTATCAAAAATGTCATAGAATAAAAACTTCTCACGTCGTTTCCTAGGGATATGCCATTTAATTAAAATCGTAACTTATTTCGTAAGAGGAAAAGAAAAACACATTGTTTCATCGCACTTATACTTTACCTGTTTTAACATACGGACATTCCATCTGCTGCAGCATCTGATTTCAAACGGTTCCATTCACCATCCTTATTTTTTTCATGCTTATCATTTGTGATTGGAAGATGGTCAGCGGGAATCTAGGTCACCTTTGCTTTGCTTTCGCTGTCATGCGCACGTGGTTAGACGGACCAAGAACCTTTTGGCAGGCCAGACAATTTCAGGCACTTTCCCAGCCAATCTGCGAGATGGGAAAAGAATAAGTAAATGGAAACATTAGAAATAAGTCATTGTAAGAAAAGGAAACACTCACCTGATGGACTGAGTATATTTTCGTTGTGCGTATGTGAGTATAAACACACATTCGCATTTGTGAGTATAGGTAGACCTGTGTGTCGGTATATATATATATATATATATATATATATATATATATTCCAACATAATACCCTTTATCAATGCACTTAAAATCAGTAGTGAAAATTAACCATTTGGTGCTGAATTCAGTTTATGTTTGCATATATATATATATATATATATATATATATATATATATATATATATATATATATATATTTTACGGTGCAATTTATAAATTGTTGTCTAAATTACGCACAAATGGAAATAACGCTGACATCTCGTTTTAACAGATATAATTAGTAAAATTACACGAAAATATCTTGAAATACTAAAGAGAAGATTTATTAAATAAAATCGCCGTTGGCTTCACCCACAGTCTCCAGACGACTTCGGAATTTCCTGTAACTTTCCTGCACAGTCTCCTTGATTAATTCGGTGAGCACTGCCATAATCCTTGCCTTCAGTTCATCGTTGGTGTTACAAGGAGTTTTGTTGATCTCTCGCTCAAGTGCGCTCTATACTTAATAATCAAGGTGGGCTGCAATCTGGGGAGTTAGGTGGCCAAATCTAAGGGGTGATGAGATCGCAGAAATTGTCTGACAGCCATGACTGTGTTCTCCGACTTGTGTAGTATGGTGCAGAGTCCTGTTACCAGACATAATATCTTCCTGCAGCCACCTTCATGGCCCAGGATAGCACAACCTCAAGGCCTTTGATGTAGTCCTCCGTATAGAGTCCGAGGCCCTGTGGTAGGGTAAGTAGAGACATAACTTCGCCATCACTAGTGATCATTCCAAACAACTTCATAATCATTATACTCTTTCTGAATCTTCTGCACTGCCATCACATTGACACTCAAACACTCTGAGATGTTCTTATTAAAACTTCCGTACAGCAAGTAATAGATAAACATTGTTTTATGGAAATACAAAATGTCGTACTGACCAGAACTGTTTATATCTTACAAAGAACATTGTCGATATTATATTGAGAAAGTATTTTGTTATTTACACTATTTACATCGTTCGGACTGTTGTCCTCATATTCTTTGCCATATTGTTGTGACCACGTAATTGGTCAAGAAATAACAAATCAAGAGGTTGCAGATAAATAGTGTATTGAACAGTAAATACAACAGAAGTGTGTTACACGACTTGGAAGTGTGTGTAGTTTGACCAGCGTCCGTCTATATCACTGTTTTACCCCGAGGCTTACTTTCCTACTACTTTATAGTGGAGGAGTCCACAATAGCCTCATTAGAGGGAAGACACTACAGCACATATTAACGAGGTTTCATCCGCTGAATGTTCTGACCTAGTTTGTTCTAATTCCACGTAACATCGATGTCTTAGTATCAGTTAATTCCCTTTAGCGCACTTAACCCTCTAAGTTTTTGTTCTCTTTGCTGTGACCAGATACTGCACTCGCAACTCATGGCCCAGTGAATAAAAGCGTTCGTTGGGTAATCCAAAAAGTGACTTCAATACCTGGCCACTTGGAGAGGTGCTAAAAGGAATTAACTGATACTGATATATACAAAAAGGCGTTTCACGTCGAGTTAGAACAATCTACCCCCGTGGACTAAATAAAGGGTTCGGTTCGATTCGAAATTTCAATGTATATCAGCTGAAGATGGTCGGAGCGTATAACAACCGAAACATCCCGAATATAGCAATAAAGATGAAGACAACAATTCGAACAATGTAAATAATGTAAATCGTTATAATACTTCATCTTAGAAATATAGACAAGTATTTTGTTGGGTAGATTAAAGGTTATTTTTTTATTCTTGTGGTCATTGTAAATTTCAGATTGTAATCGCCTTGATCTGCACATGATTCATGTACTAAAGAACAGGCAAACATTAATGAATCTTATATGTTACTTTTATGCATATGTACGTGATGTAACTGTGGGCTTATCATGTATTAACAATCCTATTTTAATCATCCGGAAAAGATGATGAAATATGAGCTTGTGAAATTCCTGACAATTATTGAATAAAGCAAACGAGACGCAAGAGTGATAATAAAAAAAAACCACGAATATATGTTGATAAATATGACTTCCCCTGAACATTACAGATAAAAAAAAAACAATTAGGATAGATGTTGTCATTGGATCCCTAGGTTAAGTTCCAAAGAATTACCAGAAACACTTCGATGTCATCGAAATCGCAACCCGCATAAAAACGTTGCTAAAAACAATCATCTTAGACACAGCCAATATCCTTCAGAATATCCTTGCTAACTACTTTATTCAGACTTTAATTTTAACGTGTTCTGTTGTATTGACATTACGTAATCTTTTGCTTTGTACTAATACTCTCCAACATCAATTTATTTTTATTAATAATTTGAACCCAAGAAAAAGATAATGTTACTCGAACGCGGAGAATTGCAAATACAAGGGAATGAGAAGACCTTAGTGAGGAGAAAAGAGTAAAATGGACAATAAAGGAAGTGAATTCAGGAAATACAGAAGATGGTGATTGACATTGCATTTAAATCTTTGCAGATTGTAGGTAAGTAAGGATTGTAGAGAAATAAGAAATTATTCCACGGGCAACGAAATAAACTATTATAATAAAACAGAGGCTTGCATTTATCCAGGTTAACAGTAAAAAAGCAAGACAAAGTTGCCAATCTAATAGCATGCTTGAATTCATGCAGACTAAGCACTAAGGAAAACAGTTCATCAGAACAGTTGCCATGAAAATATTTGTAGAAATAAAGAGAGAGAAACCACGTTACATCGGTGAGAAAGTAACTGAAGTCATGATGGCAGGTCAGGATCGATTACATTACAGAGCCTTCTTTGAATTTTCTCAAGAATCTCGACATATATAGTAAGGGCGCCAGATCTGATAAGTCAGAAATATCCAATACACGGACGAATGGTAGATTTAAAAATTGTCCAATAAGGATTCGGTCGAGAAGAACGGTGGACCAAAAAAAACAGACGGAATAATTGATTTAATATTATCACTCTACTTCATGTTAGAGAAAATGTGAGTCCAAGAAGGTTCAATGTGTTGCTCTCCTGGACTTTAGCATCAGCCATGCTGACAGCAGACAGAAAAGGTTCCCTGTGGTTATTAAATGTAAACCGTTTTGCTTTAGAGGTGTTAAAATTTACAAACCATTTCTTGCTTCAGTTAACCACTGATTAGAGGTCCTTTCTGAGATCAGTTGCTAGGATTACTTTGTCAGATCTGTCGGACTGGCTACATAGACATGAGTAAATCACCGAGTCATCTGTACAGATATCGAGTTGGTAATTGATGCCATCGGGAAGGTCGCTGATGAAGATTAGATACTACGTAGATCTGCGGAAACTCTGCATTAATATGAAATCAACTAGAAAATTTCAATTATTCCTTGTGAATTGAATTCAAAATCATTTTTCACATTTATGCTTCAAATGTATTTATTTGAAATAAGTCAGATTTTTCAAAAAACATTCTTGATGAACAACTGTTACAGTTTGAGCTGGACGAAAATATAAGAACGAAAGAAAGCAGACAAATTTTTGGCGCTGAAAGGAAGTGACAAGTGTCATGGACAGTAACTATGATTTTTTTTTCCGTGCGTTTCAGACATAACTGACTTCAAACGCGGAAATCTTCTCTTTTGGTCTGGTTGAAAAGATGAAGTCAGAAACAATGGTATATGACATGATGTAAAAGATGGAGATGAAGAAAGCAAAATGGACTGTGAGGAACAAAATTAGAAATTACTACTCGAAATAAACTATAGGAAAACAGAATAAAAAGACGATTTTTTAAGAATGTAAGAAGAATATGTACATTAATGGAAGACAAGAAAACTGGAGTTAAGCGATAGAAGAAGGAAAAGGATAATAGAAGAAAAAAGAAAAATGAAAAATGAAAAGGAAAACAAAAGAAGGAAAAAGAAAAATGAAAGAAAAAGAAACGGAGAAAAATGAAAGAAAGAAAATAAAAGAAGGACAAAGAAAAATGAAAGAAAGAAAACAAAACAAGGACAAAGAAAAATGAAAGAAAGAAAACAAACGGAGGGAAAAGAAAAATGAAAGAAAGAAAACAAACGAAGGAAAAAGAAAAATGAAAGAAAAACAAACGAAGGAAAAATAAAAGAAGGAAAAAGATAAATGGAAGAAAAAGAAAGAAAATATAAATGGAAGAAAAAGATAAAAAGGAAATTAAAGGAAGAAAAAGAAAGAAAATGCAAGTAGGAAAACAAATAAGGAGGAAGAAAATAAAAAATAAAACAATGTAAGTTGAAAAATAAATGATCAAAACTTAAATAAAATTGACAGGAAACATGAGACAAAAAATGTTTACACACACACACACACACATATAATATATATATATATATATATATATATATGCTTATTTTAAGAGAGAGCGAATTGAAAAGAAAGCGAATGAAAGATTGAAAATCAAAAAGAGATTTCAAAAGGAAAGAACAGGAATATGAGTAAAAGTGTTAAAAAGAATGAGAAATTGAAAAAGTTACTTGTGAGAATAGAAAGAAGAATGTAAAACAAAAAGATGGAATAAAGAACTAATTAAAGGATAGGACACTAGATAATGGAATGAAGAAATTGAAAGCAAGAATATTGGATTGGAGCAAACGAAAGTAGAATGTGTTTTAACTTCCGCTGTGTCCATTAAGTTCTCGTCCAAGTTGCAAGACCAGCTTACGCCCATCTACCCACATTGCACGAGTAGCAGCAGACAGTTCGACTTTTATACGTTTCTATGATTAAAAACTCTGCACTAAGTTCAACTCTTTCTGTTGCTTCTTGCTATTAGAATTTATGAATAACATCTCTTCATATACTCACAAAAATACAAGTTTAAACAAGAATGCTATAAGGTACTGAATGTTACCAAATCTCGATTCTTTGTTTTTCCTGTCCGTAATCTGTCTATAAGAAGAGAATCTTATATTTTTTGACGAGTCAAAAATGATAATGCCCATTACAAACAAATCCCAAACCGAAGACGCATAACATGAATTAGGTATCTCTAAAACATTTGTACGTAAACTGGGCAATGAGTATCGAATTATCTGTGCATAACTTTCATCTTAAAGCTTTTGGACTGCTGCCTGTAAAAATCATAGACATAATTCCCATAAACTTAGAATATTTAACTGCAGTTAACTTCGCAGTATCATAAGGTTTGAAGGTATTTAAATTTTTACTGTAGGACATCACTCTGCCAAACATTACACAATCTTCAGTTCTAAGATTACCTTGGATGACTATTTTCTTAAAGGATCCAACATATCATCCATCCATCATCTTTTTATTCATTACAAATTTCTATTGACAAGTCAGATTTCATGTACTGTGTCATCCTACTTAATGATAGGCTTCAAAAAACAAGTCAATCTATCAACCTTTTGCATTATATTTCAAGTTAAAAATAGTTTTTGTAAGAATTTTTTGCAGATAATAATGATTTTGATGGTACAAGCCTACTAATTAACCTATAACTAGGAGAGAGAGAGAGAGAGAGAAACGGTGAACTCATTGCTTTCCCAAAGTTATTTGTGATTATAGTGAATTCCGACTAGATTTGGAACTCGGTTCTCCAATCTCCAATTCCGGGTCATTGTCCATTACACCACCCGCATATCCAAACTTACAATATCTTATATTCTGAAGCGGTCACCCATGAAGGTACTAACCAGACTCGACATTGCTTAACTTCGGTAACCGTACGAGAACCGGTGTTTGAACGTGATATGGCGATAAATCCCTCCTTATTTAGAAGTTTCGCCTTTGGATGTATATTTAAAAGTGGACAATTCTGCTATAGACATGAAAGCAAGGAAACAAAGCTACTAACACACAAGGGTTTACTAGCTGCGATAGAATATTTTCAAAAATATTGAGGAGAAAGAACAATAAAAGAACGGAAATTAAGAAGACAGAAGGTAACGATTGATATTATTATGAATACATTGATTTGCTCACTAAAATCCAATATAGTGTATGTACTTACTCTATTATGAACCAAAATATCACCAACAACATGTGGCAAAAATGACATCTACTATTTGAAAACAATAACGGTCGAAAATTGTATTTTATTTACAGAGTTTCAAGTGGTGAATTCTTCATTTATAGGATTTTTTTAAATGGTTTTGATAAAGGGTAAATTTTTATGACAGAAATCTGTAGGTAAAAATGAAACTTTTCCGAAATGGTACGCCTTGTGAAGCGGTTTTGTTCAGTACCAGTTGGCTCTGTTCCGTGGAGGTAAAATTCTATTCCGATGACAGGGATCGATGCGAAATGAGAAGCGAATGGAAGCATTTTTCCGCCATGCATTATCAAGTAAAATGGCTATCGTTGTCATAAATTGCAAATAGTTGTTGTTTAGATGACGGGAGAAAAGTTTTTTTTAAAATTATTTACAGTTGTGAATATTAATTTTATATTAAGCAAAAAAGGCTATTACTGCTTTTTAACAGTCAGACAATATTAAACACCTGAAAACTGCGTTGTGCATGAAACTCCGAGTTGTGCCACCAGTGAGGGATAATATGGATATTTATTGATATATACTCCGTTATATTACATCGAGCACTGTTTTATTAACATCAGCACTCAATGGGCAATATTTCATATCCACACACACACACACACATATATATATATATATATATATATATATATATATATATATATATATATATATGTGTGTGTGGTTCGGTTGATTGTGTTTTTGCGATATATCAAACCGTATGGATAAATTAATGCCGAAATGTAAATATGAAAATACAAACTTTATAATAAATTCAAGTCAATGACATTATTTCATGATTAAATTATTATTACTTAGCTGCATTTTTTTAAACAAATCATCGTACAAAATCAAATGATTAGTGAAAACTTGTTTCTTCTCACAAGAAATGAGATTAGTCGCAGTCAATGTTTTTTTTTCATGTTTTCAATACTACTATAAAAATCTATTGTTGGTCTTTTTATTTATATAAAATGTAATGCTTGTAATTTAACTACAAAAATGTCTGGTTGGTATTTTTTTTTAAATGTATTGCTGTTATTTTATACCTTCTTAGTATTTGTGCTTGGGGGTTCACTATTTGCCGATAGGTCGGGACCTAACACCCCGGGTCAAGATGAACCTAGGAACAACAAGAGATTGTTCGATGCGCCTCAAAACTTGCAATTCCGATCATAGTTCTTGTTGCCTGAAGTATTTTATCTTTATACCCAGGACGGATATATATATATATATATATATATATATATATGAGAGAGAGAGAGAGAGAGAGAGAGAGAGGGGGGGAGAGAATTTTCAGTATTGTAGGACATGCTATTATGTATATCATCGGGCATGATAGTGGGGACAATCTCCCGTTGTCTATAAAATACTTCTGTGACATGCGACTCAACATACAGGTACAAGCCGGATAATGGGCGGAGACGGAAAACTGGCACCTCATAATCACCTCATAAATGGAGCTCGATAGACTAAGAAGCCAGTCCATCTAAGGGAAGGGAAATCCTGACTTTTAAACCTCCACTGACTTGAGAAACAATGAATGCAGGTCCGAAGGAGGTTGACTGTCAACACTGACAACATTCCTGCAATTACTGCAGCCAAGATGTTCCCAATTGTAATGCCTTGTATTACTTTTGATATTGTCGGTAGGGACGAGATTGGGGTCATGTAGTCTGAGCAACGTACGGCCTCCGTATACCTTCACGTTTCCAGAAGAAGGAAAGCTCTAAATTCAAACCATCTGCTGCTTTGTAGGCATTGCTTCTTTAACTTCTGACAAGAGGGACGGTGTAATTCAGCGTTTCCCAACGGGGCGATTTCAACTATTAGGTGGTTAATGAGCAACTGAAAAGAAAATGGTGGGCGATTACATATTATGATGGGGGGGCTATAGGATTTTGAGAATTAAAAACTATTTCAACATATACTACCCGAAAAAATATATTCAAAGGAGATATTCGAATAATCTGTATAAAAAAAAAACAGGTGGCTAAATGGAAATAAATGGGTCACATTCCAAAACACGGAATATTTTGCTATTTTCTATAGTTTTGAGAAGCGTCATTTAGATTCAAATACTTCTTCTGGCAAAATAACATTTTTACGGATATAAATTGATATGTCCCGGGAGGGGATATATTTGAACGAAGTAGCTAAGTGGTTTTGGCTACTATAACCAAGCAGAATAAGGGTAGCAGTAATCGACTCGTACGCGTTATAGTCGCAGGTAAGAAGTGTAGATCAATGGCGTGGTCCAATGGGCATCGTTATAGACTTAGCTCTCAGACTTTGTCGTACCTACACGTCCGTCGGTATTTATGACGGACACCAGCCAATCATATTCCACTGAGGGGGGAAACACAGGTGTACGCATAATCCATTATATCATAAATATGATAGGGAAGACCAAGAATAATTTTGCCAGTAAAATTAAGAAGTGGCCACATTATAATTTTTATTTAATATATATATATATATATATATATATATTTTACTTTATCACATTGGCCATCTCGAAATTATCAAGACAAGAAAAGCACCCGTCAAAACATAATTTACTTATCACTGTATACTTTTGAATATTTACTTTACAGGTGGACGAAGGAAAAATTGTCCATATGAAAGTGGATGATGATGCAAAAAGTTTCGAATGTTGGAGTTACATCGTAATCTCAACATCCCGGGGGGTGCAAAAGTTACCGACAAGCTGTTGCACTATTCTGCCTTGAATGTCACCATGAACGACAATTGTGAGATGAAGGATAGTTGTGACCACAACTGCTGAATAAATAAATGAATGATTAAATATATGTGCTTATGTAGATTTCTATCCATGTTTGTGTGTTGCTGGATTCCACGCCAAAATTTGTATGGTTAGAGAGGTACTCTAGTATGTAACCACAACCGTATTGTGAGATCAGATCGATTCTTGTGGCTTTCTACAAGAATAAGCAATGAGTCGGCCTTGAAGAGATAGCAATCTTGTGCGTCAAATCACTCATATTGGTGTGAGTCACTAATGTTGCCTTATGCCAGACTAAACTATATTAAATAATATTTTCATTTCAAGTTGTTTCCCGCTTTGTTTTACCAAAGATTGAATATATCAGGCAAACTTCAAATAAACACGTATGTATGTCCACAATGATCTCGAGAAGGCAACAAAATCGTGAATATACCTGTTTGTTCTGCTATTTTTGTTTAAAATCCCTAACAACATTGATAATGTATGCAAATATATATTCCATTACTATTTTCTTTGAACGATTATATCTACAAAAAACGACTTTGAAAGGGACATTCACACTGCGCTTGCGTAGAAACGTCACAAGTGAAAAGGGACTGGCAAGATTAATAGATCAACCTGTTGAATTCGATTAACCTTAACCTTCTGAATAATTTTTGACTCGATGATGAAACGCTTATGTTAGCCAATTACAGATGATGAACGAAGCCGTGCACAAAAACCCACTTATTTTAATTTTACATACAATTCATTATGTTCGCTTGAGAGTGGTTTTATTTGGCCCATATAAATGCTACGTCTTGTAACATTTCCCTGCCGGTAACAAATACTCAGATACACACACACACATATATATATATATATATATATATATATATATATA